GCCCATTCTGAATTTGATGCCAGCAATACATTCCAAAAAAGTTGGGACGGGGGCAACAAAAGGCTGGTAAAGTTGCCCAATGCTTAAAAAAACTAGTGGTTAATTGGCAACAGGTCAATAACATGATTGGGCTTAAAATAAGCATCCCACAGAGGATTCTTTCAGAAGTAAAGATGAGGAGGTGTTCACCTCTCTGTGAAAGACTGCACGAGCAAATAGTGCAACAATTCAAGAATAACATCTCTCAACATAAAATAGCAAAAAACTTTTGCTTTTCATCATCTACGGTACATAATACCATTAAAAGATTCAGGGAATCTGGACAAATCTGGACAAAAAGGGACAAGGCCGTGATCTTTGGGCCCTCAGATGTCACTGCATTAAAAATGGACATGATTCAGTAGTGGATCACTGCATGGGCTCAGAAAAACATTGTCTATGAAAACAGTTCAGCAAGGCATCCACAAATGCTAATTAAAACTCTTAAACGCAAAGAAGAAAGTATATAAAGAAACAGGATCCAGAAACCTTCTCTATGCCCAAGCTTATTTAAAATGGACTGAGGGGAAGTGGAAAAGTGTCCTGCAGTCCGACAAATCAACATTTAAAATTCTATTTGGAAATCATGGACACTGTCCTCCTGGGGCTAAATACCACTCAGCTTGTTATTAGTGCACAGTTCAAATGCTAGTATTCATGATGGTATAGGGATGCATTAGTGCACATGGCATGGGTGACTGGCACATCTGTGAAGGCGACATTAATGCTGAATGATGTATACATGTTTTGGAAACATATGCTGCCATCCAGATGACGTCTTTTTCAGGGAAGGCCTTGTTTATTTCAGCAAGACAAGGTCAAACCACATTCTGCATGTATTGCAACAGCATGGCTCTGTATTAAAGGAGTCCGGGCGCTAAACTGGCCTGCCTGCAGTCCAGACCTGTCACCCACTGAAAACATTTGGCATATCATAAAATGAAAAATACGACAAAGAAGACCCCGAACTGTTAAGAAGCTGAAAAAATAGGAAAACATTTCATTTTCAAAACTATAGCAGTTCTCCTCAGTTCGGGGTCTCCTTTCTCGTATTTTTCATTTCATAAAGCGCCAAATGTTATCAATGTTGACAGGTCTGGACCACATGCAGGCCAGTTTAGCACCTGGACTCTTTTAATACGGAGTCATGCTGTTGTAATACATCCAGAATGTGGTTTGACACTGTCTTGCTGGAATAAGCAAGCCCTTCCCTGAAAAAGACATCGCCTGGATGGCAGTATGGTGCCAAAACATGTTTTCAACAATTTCAACATTTGATATGTTGTCTTTGTTGTATATTGCTTTACAAACATGGTTTTACATGATTTACACATCATAGAATTTTGTTTTTATTTACATTTTGCACAGCGTCCCAAATTTTGGAAATGGGGTTGTATTTCTCTATATTCAATATTCTATATTAACTGTAAAATCTCATTCCCTGTTCATATTCAGCTTGTTTTGTTTTGTTGACCGGAGGAAGATGTGTTCCTTTTGAGTCTTGATTCTTCTTAAGGTTTCTTCTTCTTGCTCTTCAGGATTTTTCTGTTGTCACTGTCGCCATTGGCTTGCTCATGGGGTCTTGGACCCAGATTTTCTGTAAAGCTGATTTGTGACAATGCCTGTCGTAAAAAGCGCTTTATAAATATGCTTTGACTAGACATGAGTTCACAAAGTGGGTAGGCTGGCTCTCCTTCTCCCCCATCATCACACAGCAAAATTATACAAGTAGTAGTGTAGCTGTGTAGTGTGTAGATTCAGTTGGCTCTAGCATTCAACAGGACATCATTTAGGCCAAGTAAATTTGTCATACCAAAGAACAAAGGACAACATAATAAGGGAATTTAATGTATGGAATACTATTCCCAATATAAGGCTTTTGTCAGTTCCTTCTGCATTTTTATAGATTTGTATCTTGTAGGAAGCATGTGATAGTAGGAGAAGGAGGGCCATCCTACTAGCTTAGAAAGAGTAAGGCCAATTACACTCTCTTGGACTCACAGCTACAGATGGCTTTGGCATTGCTTGAGATTGAGTTTGCCATCTCTTGACCTCCACAGCTTGATGCTCACACCACTTGGGAGCCCCCTTTGGGTATATTTTGCAACACTCACCATCATGTTCGTCAAAGTTTCTTCTTTGTTAGATACTTTGCTTGACAGTAAATAAGGGGATATGAAGCTAGCAGATAGGAATTAGCTACAACTAAATTGGGGGAACATCTGGTAAAAAAAATAGTAAATAGCTGTCTTATCAAAAAAAATCAAATATTACAAAGTTGAAATGTTGAAATGAGTTCACATCTGTCTGCACTTAGACCTCTCCACAGACTTCACATGGCAAATAAGGTGACAAGTGTAGAAGGACATGAGTTGAAGGGGGCATAGTTGCAGCTTTCTTACCTCACATAACTTGAATACTCATCTGATTCGCTTAGCTTCCTGCTGGAAACATAGCTTTCCCAAAAGATGCCAAGGAAGTCTCTCTAAGTGGGTTAGTCAGCCACTGTTGTCAAATTCCATGCCTTACTGCTTTTGTGGTCATTATCAAACTGGTCCCACTGGTCATCAGAGACCATAGACTGAGCCCTGGATATCATGGGCTAAAAAGCAGAGCAGGGTAAAAACTGGCTGTAATGACCCAGTGATTTGAAGTGAAGTTTTTTTTCAGGATGGTTATACGAGGCTAGCAGCAGAAATAACTGAAAGGGCAGGCAAATTACTTCTAACAGATCCATTAAATAGTGGCAGCCATTTCAAGAAGAAGAAGAACAGTTCTCCTCTGAAAGAGAAAGACATAGAAAGGGACTGTCTGTCTAGTCAGCCTCTCAACCTATGGATAATGCTGGTCAAAAAACAATTGTTTATATGTATATAGAAGAGTATGGATAAAGACGGAGGAACTCAATGGTTTATTTTGTAAAACTGCCATGAATAAGAGGACTAACTGATCAGACTGAGGCAAATGTGCATGGCAGAGTGTCAGCTGTTAACTTACTAGCTCAGTAGGTAATGCATTAACCTCCATCTGGATCTATTTTTCATATGACTTCTAGCATGCTAATAATACAATGTAAAGGGAACTAATGTCAGCAAGCTAAAAGTAGCATTTTGTTAAGAGTATGTGATCTGGTCCCCAACTAGGCCAGTAATGTTACTAACTGTGATTGGTTTCTCAAGCAATTCTTTTATCCAGTCACTGAGGTTCCTGCTTATTAGGTCTAACTTCATCATGTTGGCAGGAAGTTTGAATGGAATGATTTCAGACTGTAAGTGGTCTGTTTGGGCCCAGACAAATGTGCTGCTTCTGCTGTGTTAGTAAAATGTAAGTGCTTTGGTTGCCTTTTTTTAAACTTTTATTTAACCTTTAGAAGTTAAGACATATTACATACATTTTGCTATACTTATGCAATTACATATGTAATTATATAGTGTTGCATTTCCCTTCAATCTACAGTCAGATTTTTCACTTTGTTTCAGACAGAATTCCTTTGCATGTTTTAATGAGCTATGGGTAAGGTATATCAAATTACACCATGTTTTGTTATTTTTAATATAATACTGATAATGAGATAACTTCTAAGGGTTAACCATCAGTGAGGTCCTGTGAGGTTAACAGCCTCGTCTCCCAGTCAGGGATACACTGCTCAGCCTGCAAATGCCTTCAGTCAGCTCCTAATGACATGTCAGAAAGTCCTCCATAGTGGGACCATTTACTGCAAATAGTCTCAAGATGCAGACCATTGTTTAAGTGTGACACAATGTCTGCAATTTAAGTGATAACCTTGTTTACCCTGCAAAGAAAGAACCAGCATTTCTCTTTTGAAAGTTGTGAGACTTTATGTATTAGCCTATGCAGGTACATGTATTATAACACATTTTTTGTATGTTTGCTTACTTTGAATGATAGTAGATTTGAATAAAGGGCAAAAAACATCCTCATGAATGTCTGTCTGGTTTAATTCAAATACTGAACCATTTTGCTTTATTATGTAACAAAGAGATAAACCCTAACTGTAACCCTAGGGAAATCATATTTAACTGTATCATGTATTTGTAAATAGGGCTTCAAAAACCAAGTATTTTTATAGCTGGTTATAAAAAAGTTATAAAACATTAAATATGTAGATTATAGTTATAGTTCTTCAGACTGTAGCATCATTTAACCGGTCTCAGTGTGCTAGTTTACAAGACAAGCTATGTATTAACAGGTTTCCAGGACGAGCAGATGGCATTTTTTATGTCAAAACTATATATAAAAATGATTTGTTTTTTAAGCTATTATATGTAACAGGACAAGCTGCTTATGTTAGTAGATAGTTATGATAATAGCTAATGATTTTTTAAGTAGTTTGCTAAATACTTCTAATTGACAGAAACAGGGACTAGAATATTCCAGTGAATAATGTTGGAAATAGTAATATGATGAGCTTCAGTAATTTTTGTAAGGGTAACGTTAGCTCGTTCTGACAAAACATTTACAATGCGAACAATGCATCCAGAGAGTAGTTTGGTTTGTCAGACCACTGGCAAAGAGGGAAAGCTACTGTTTACAGACAGTTCTACTGCTTCAGAATGTAACGTTTTGCTTCAATGGAAAACTAAATCAGACTTGCATATGTTGTATAAGACTACTTTATCCCTTATTTTGAGAAAATGCTCCCAAGCTACACTTCTCTTTTAACATTCAGCCACATCTTTTTCTTTCACTATCCGCTCACAGGGCGACACTATAAGTATATTGCTACCCTTATCAGGTTGTATCACGTCGTGAACTCACACTAAGTTGAATGTCAATTTGGAAATGTAAAAAAAGGTTGACAACGTAAATATCATTATGGATAATGTCGAAAAATAGTGTCCTAACTGTAAAATTCAGCCACAGCAAAACAAAATTTTTATGTATGACTGAAGAGAGCTTTTTGTGTATTTGGTAATCAGATATGCCTGGGTGGTACTGACCAGACCAGTGTCCCGTGGAGGTTCCTGTGCGGTCAGTGCAGGTATCACTGACGGGCTTGAAAACAGTCTCCCATCCGCCGGTGGCATAGCGCCAGTTCTGCGATTCCAGAATAAGCGTACGCTGCGTGCCGTAGGCAATCATGAAGCAGTAGACCACATGATGCAGCTGGCAACCATAACCACAGCCCTTATTGATGTTACACACCAGCTTCCGCGCCTTACTGCAGTCTGCTGGGTTCTAGACGGGGACAGACAAAAAGAGAAAGAGTGTCAAAGAGAAAAGCCCTTAATAATTCAAGATTAAAAATTTCTCATTTATTTTCTGACACATGATAAATTATTTTTGGACTGCCATTCTTTCATTGAACACATTATTGTTCATTAAGTTTACAAGTTTTTTATGTTTTAAACCTTTTCTCCAATAGTTTTTTTGCCTGACATCACCTCCCCATCAGAGAACTATTAAAACTTTTTTATTTGTAATGTATTCATGAGGGAGGACATGTAAGCATAAAGAAACAGACAAACAACGGTAAGAGAAGGAAAAAAGACTGATAAAATTACATAAGAAAATAATTATGACAAAATAATCAAAAGATTTAATAAGAACCAAACGTTAACAACACTAATAGTGTCTGTGACATAAAAATTAAGTCAAGTCAAATGGCTTTTATTGTCATTCCATCTGTGTACAAGTACACAGTAGAGCGAAATTATGTTCCTCCAGGACCATGGTGCAACATGGAACAAAATAATACAGTACAGACTAAGTGCAAACGTGCAGACGCAAGTGTGCAAACATTAAACTAGAAACAATACAATATATACGATAAATAAAACAGAATGTAGACCCAGAAAACAGACAGGACAGTTCAGCGCCGACACAGCACTCATTTCTGAACATGAGGTAGTGAGGATAAGGTGAGATATTTTTTTCGAGTGACAGCATCAAAAGAGGTGCGTGTGAGTGTAAAGTACGTATTAACCACACGAGGGGGTTTTCTGTTTCAGTCCTTGTGAGTTAAAAATCATATTGCTTACGGAACAAAGCTGTTGCAGAGTCTGGCAGTGATGGCACAGATGCCCCGATACCTTCTACCAGACGTCAGCAGAGAAAAAAGTTTCGATGGGGTCGTCCACAATGCTGGTGGTTCTGCGGATGCAGCGTGTGGTGTAAATGTCCGTGATGGAGGGGACAGAGACCCCAATGATCTTCTCAGCTGTCCTCACTATTCGCTGTAGGATCTTTCAGTCAGAGGCATTACAATTCCCAAACCAGTTGATGATGCAGCTTGTTACGTCCATAGGACGTATGTTTTGTTTTGCTTGCTTCCCTTCCTTTCTTTCTCTCTCTCATACTCTCGCTTATTAGGAACCCGTCCACTTGTGCGTCTGATTGGCTGGAGTCCCGTAACGAAATTTCATCTGATTGGCTGGCTGAAATTGCATGGAGTATATCTTCGACGGCTGCGCCGGATGTCATGGAGGCTTTCCTCCATGGCGGCTTGGGGCGATTGTTTTTAGATCTGAACCACAGCTCAGCTTGTTTGTTTTATTGCTAGCGATTGTCTACTCTCCTCCCAAACGGAATAGCTTAGCTTTACCTCTTGTTCTATACCCAGTTATCTCTGCAGTTAAACTGTAAGCTCATGATCTGTCTCTGTAAATGTTCACTCTTATGCCGACCAGGTTGTAGGAGTGGGTGCCATTTCTTTTGACCTTGTTTTCTCCTGTTTTTGATATAGTTAGGGAGTTAGGAAAGACTGACTGTACTTTTGTTTCTTTATGTTTGCATAGGTAAGTTAGTTCTCTAGCATCTCTAGCTAGGCTGGTTATGTTTATTGTTTTGGCGCATGCCCACTCTGACGTTCTCCTGTGTCGTATACACATAAGAGCAGCATAAAAAGAAAATAACACGATTTGACCTGTTTAAACGTCAACTGGCTCTCTTTTGTCTTTTTTTATGTTATGATCATCTCAAACCCCTAGACAGGTCGTAACAAGCTGCTCCTGTTGATTTCCACAGCAGAGACACTGATGTTCAGCAGGGGGTGGTCACCTTGCACTCTTCGGTAGTCAACAACCATCTCCTTAGTTTTGTCCACATTCAGAGACAGGTTGTTGGTTCTGCACCAGTCTGTTAGCTGCTGCACCTCCTCTCTGTATGCTGACTCATCATTCTTGCAGACCTACCATGTCATCAGCAAACCTGATGATGTGGTTTGAGCTGTACTTTGCAGTATAGTCGTTCGTCAGGAGAGTGAACAGCAGCAGACTAAGCACACAGCCCTGGGGGACGCCGGTGCTCAGTATGGTGGTCCTGGAGATGTTGTTACCGATCCTGACTAATTGAGGTCTCTAAGTCAGGAAATCCATTACCCAGAGCCTCTGAGCACTCTGCCAGGTATGCTGTCAGATCCTGGGGCTTTTTGTGGGTTGACTCTGTGTAGAGCTCTCTGCACATCAGCAGTGGACAGACACAGTACCCATTGATTTGGAGGAGGTGTGGTCTTCCTCGCCGTCGTGCAGCTCTGTGCTTCAAACAGAGCACAGAAGTTATTCAGCACGTCTGGAAGGGAGGCATCACTGTCACAAGCAGGTGAAGGTGTCTTATGGTTGGTGATGGCCCAGATGCCCTGCCACATGCGCCGTGTGTCAGCAGTGTCTTGAAAATGTTCATGGATTTTCTTTGCGTAGGCACGCTTTGCCTCTCTAATGGCCCGGGAAAGCTTGGCTCTTGCTGTTTTGAGGCCTGCCTTATCGCGGGTTCTCAGCAGCATGACACCCCACAGTCATCCATGGCTTCTGGTTGGGGTGTGTTGAGATGAGTTTGGAGACAGTAACATCAACATCATCAAATGCACTTGCTGATGTAGCCAGTCACTGATTCTGTATACTCCTCCAGATTGATGGAGTCACCAGAAGTTGCTGCTTCTCTGAACATCTCCCCATCAGTGTGCTCAAAACAGTCCTGAAGAGCAGAGGTAGCTCCTGGCGGCCAAGTTCTCACTTGCTTCTGGTCCGGTTTGGCACATCTGATGAGCGGCCTGGAATGAGCATCACAGAGATGTGGTCTGAGTTGCCGTAGTGGAGGTGGGGCTCGGAACTGTACACGCCGGGGATGTTTGTGTAAACAAGATCCAGCACATTAGCCCCACGGGTTGCAAAGTGCACATACTGATGGAATTTAGGGAGCACTGACTTCAGATTAGCATGGTTGAAATCTCCAGCGACAATAAACAGTCCGTCTGGGTGTGTGTTTTGGAGATCACTGATAGCGCTGTACAGCTTGTTCAGTGCGGCGTTAGCATTAGCACTGGGAGCTATGTACACTGCTGCTATGTACGTGTGCTTTCAGTGTTGATGTAAACACACAGGCCCCCTCCTCGAGTCTTACCGCACAGTTCATCGTCTCTGTCCGCCCCGCCAGGCTGTTGAGCTGAATGGCTCCAGAATCCAGAGTGGAGCTCGTCATCCATGTCTCCGGGAAAAACGAAAACAAAGCAGTCTCTGAACTCATGCCGGGTAGCCCACTGGATCTGGAGGTAGTCCTGTTTATTTTCTAAGGAGTAGACATTTAAAAGCATGATGTATGGCACCGCTGGCCGCCTGGAGTTAGCCTGTAGCCTAGCACACACCCCCGCTCGTTTGCTGCGCTTCCGCCTCCTCGCACACTGCATTATCACTGTTGTACAGAGATAGAATTCCTTAAGTATGTGTGTGTGAGTGCAATAACTAAGGGGAAAGAGTTTGTTTAATGATTATAAAGATATTTTTATGTACAGGGTAGTTTAGAACTGGGTATTGGATCTCAGTATACTCACTTCTCTAGTAAAGTTGATTTAATGGGACACTTAAAAAGCTGTAAAAAGTTAATGACTGGTGTCCAGATCAAGTCATATTGAGTGTTTTTGTGTTTGATGGAAGCAGATATTTTTTCCATAGATATATGATCCATTAGTGATTTTTTCCAGTGAGTGACAGTAATGGCATTTGTTGACTTCCAGTTCACAAGGCTCATTTTCTTGGCGATAGTTAGAGCTGTGAGTAGAGCGATAGAGGTTTCCTTTGTCATACTGATTGCTAACGTGTCTCTTAACAGACAGCTCTAGGGACAGGGGGATAGTGATATTGAAGCAGAGTGCTAAAAGATTGCATTTCTTGCCAGAAATGTTTCTTTGGGAGTGCAGTGCTACATGGCTGACTATAATTATCTGTGGTATTCTGTGTGCAATGTGAATAGATTTCAGAGCTGGTAAATCTCATTTTAAATCTATTTTGTCCAGTGTAATATATTCTTTGGCTGATTTTATATTGTACGAGCTGTAGATTAATACTTGTAGTCACACATAGATTATTTTTGCATATCTGTAACCAGAAATCGGCACTGAGAGTGATGGAGAGATCTTTTTCCCGTTGTATAGTTGGCAAAGTTATTTTTAGGTCTGGTTTAGACACTACTTTGTATATTTTTTGATAAGAGTTTGGTTGGAAAGGATCAAAGGATCAAAAATCCGAGATTGTGAGGGCTTTTAAACTTCCATGGGTTTTTGAATTCTGTGGTCATTTTGAATCTGGGTGTTTTTTTCCAAGTAAAAATATGACATAGTGGTATCTAAGGAAGTTGAACAGATATCATTGAGAATAAGTAATTAACTTTGGCCAATATTGGCATTTTGATTATAGCTATTCTACCTATGAGGGAAATGGTTTATCCACATTCGGAGCTCATCACTTACTGTTTTGAGAAGGGGGTGTAATTAAGACTGGGTAATTCTGAAAGCTGTGGGGAAATTCAGACACCCAATTATGTGATGAAATTAGTGTTTAGTGGAATAGAAAGTGTCTGAATTGGACCAGTTAATCGAGTCTCCAATAGTTTTAATTGAAAAAATGACTGTCAGTTGTCAATTGTCAAACACCTTAAATTCAAATGAAAAGCAGACACTCACAGTTTTAAATAATATAAATAGTGTACCAGTGGGTGTGGAGCTATTCATAATTCTTTGCAGTTGTGGTTTCTGTTAATTACCATTTATTCTTCATATTTTACATAAGTTCTCTTCACAAAAATAAGTTGTGTAATAGCATTACTTTTACCAATACCTATAAAACTGCATGTTGCCAATATGGATTGATATTATAGGCCAGGGGTTGGAGAAAATATCTGCAAGCAAAGGTCCGGAACATCATAATATCTAACTTGCATCATGATTCAGTGCCACATACTGTATACTG